TGAATACACAAGATGGATGATTGACAAAACCAAAACAAACAGCATGGGGAGCTGTTGAGATTGCCCTTTGGAGGAGGAGGGAGCAAGAAGAAAAAGGAGGGAGCAAGAAGCATAAAGCACTGGTGATGACCAAGGAAAGATTGATAATAAAGCTGACAGGATCACTTTAGTTCCAACTTCTCCCATGAAAGTGTTCTCTTTCAAGCCTCATCACTTTGACCTCCATGACAGATAAACATCAAGGACTCAAGTAATCAATGTTAGCTCTATGGCATCAGCTTCATGGAATTGTATACTTTTTGCTAATTTAGCACATGATTGTTAAGGAATAACAGTCTAATATATGTAGTAAGAGTGATTAACAGTGTGAGAAACACTTGTTAGTATGATGTTTGTTGTTAATAAATTTAACATTTTGTTTTAAAGTTTAAAAAAGGCCTAATTTTTTAGCGCTCTAAGCATTCCCATCACAGAGATCTCTAATTCCTTAGCAGTATGTTTCTATAAGTATATATATAACTGCATACACATGGCACGTGTCTGTGTATTTACATAGAGAGAGATCACTGTATACAGTTATGCACATACACAAACGTGCACATGCATATCTATTATACTGCAACACTGGGCAAGTCTATCTGTGGTTCGTAGTCATTTCCTTCTTGGGTATTTTCTCTCTTTTGTCCTTCTAGGTCCTTGTGGCTGGCTGCTCCTCATGTTGCTGAAAGGCTGTGCAGGACAGAGGACCATCGCCCCTCAGAAGTGCAAGAGCAGCTTTAGCTCTCCACAAACCACTTCGTGTGCTTTATAAACATTCCCTCTGCCTTTTCCCAGAAGCGTAGGAAAACATCACCCCAGCTTTTTCATCAGTACTCAGCAGACAATAATATGTATGAGGGTAATTTGAGTATAAATCAGCATGATCGATCAAGTTTCTCCTATTTGTCTGTGGACCTCATGTATTCTGCTGGGAATACCAAGAATGTATTCCCTCTCTATGGCCTCTACAGTGATGCCCATACACTGCAAATAACAAATTGCTGCTACCTCAGCATCTTACTGATTGCAAAATATCCAAGTAGCTGTTCAAGCTAAATTTTGGTCCCTAGTGTTTTACCAGAATAATATACTCTGGTGATTTGCGACTTCAAAAAAAAACAAAATAAAACCCAAACAGAAAACAAACAAACAAATCTTTCCAGAAGTTTTAATTTAGAACAGAGTTTTACTAATTTTGATTGCAACTCTTTTAACATGGCAAATAGAACAGAGGTTGTAAACTAATACCTAGCTACACTATAATACACTGGTTACTAATATGCATTGCATAATCTGTTTGAATTGTAGCTTAATTACACCTGTTACAGGACATAGTGGCTTAGTTTTTAAAATAAATTTTAATACAGAACCCATATGATACCATTCTGGGTCATTCTGGCAGAAAATTGGTTATTAAAGATCATGAAGAGACAAATTTTATAATATAACTGTTGAAACAGAATGAGTTCATATTTTTAATAAAAAAATCTTAGTAGAAGCTGTTCATAATGACAGTAATTTTTATATTACTGGGCTTGCCTGCAGCTGTCAACTAACCAACTGATCATTAACTGCTAGTACAGATTTATTTCCTTATGATTTTGTCTGGTTAATAAGACAGATGGAATAGGCCTAATTGCAAAAATGATACATGGCTCCATGCTTCTCTTTTTCTATTTCCCATTTACAGAATGTGAGCCAGCAACTGCTGGCACAGCAGACAATAATATCTATGTGGACAACTTTAATACAAATCAGCATTACCAACCAAGTTGCTCTTATCTGCCTGTAGACCTCAAGTACTGTACTAGGATACCAAGAACCAATCCCAATGACTGATCCTTTATCTTCATGTAAGCATACTGCAATGGGTATTCACAAATTCTTCATAAGAAATTCATAGCAAAGCTCTTTTCAGAATAAAGTTGCATCACATTTGGTAAAAAGCATTGGTCCAGATTTTGTTAACACTCTACTTCCATTTCACTGTCTTCCAGGCCATTAGGAAACAGTGATAGTTAGCAGAGTAAGCTCAGCTGACCCTTTAAGACACTGAAGCCAACTGATTCTAACAAACGGCTGCAATTAGAGTCAACTGCCTTAGAGAGAAGCATGTGGAGATCTGTGTCCTGCCTTATTTCTCTTTTAGACAACCTGTTTTTAAGCCTTGTCTTGCCTCCAAAGGCTGGTGGAGAGCACCGATTCTGTAAAAGATTCCTTGGGCACTGCATCTTTTGACACTTGAGCCCAGAACTCAGAATCAAATTAAATCATTAAATCAAAATTAGTATATCTCAAATTCCCTGCTTCACTTCTATGGGGCACTGCACTGTGGTTGAGTTCTGCGTAATTTCTGTGCCATCCCTAGAAAACTGAGAGAGCTAAAATTGCTTAAAGTGATGAAGCAGTGGATCCCCATAGCTGGGATTTTATTTGGAAGGAATAGAGATGGGTAATAATGCATTTTTTGCCTCTAC